CTATACATCTGAAACAAGGTCTCTAGTGGACAGGCTATAGCATCTGAAGCAAGGTCTCTAGTAGCCAGTCTATAGCATCTGAAACAAGGTCTCTAGTGACAGGCTATAGCATCTGAAACAAGGTCTCTAGTGGACAGGCTATAAAATCAGAAACAAGGTCTCTAGTGGGTAGTATATAGCATCTGAAACAAGGTCTCTAGTGGACAGTCTATATCATCTGAAACAAGGTCTCTAGTGGACAGGCTATAACATCTGAAACAATGTCTCTAGTGGACAGTCTATAGCATCTGAAACAAGGTCTCTAGTAGACAGTCTATAACATCTGGAACAAGGTATCCAGTGGGCAGTCTATAGCATCTGAAACAAGGTATCTAGTTATAAGTCTATAGCATGTGAAACAAGGCCTCTAGTGTGCAGTCTATAGCATCTGGAACAAGGTATCCAGTGGGCAGTCTATAGCATCTGAAACAAGGTCTCTAGTGATAAGTCTATAGCATTTGAAACAAGGTCTCTAGTAGGTAGTCTATAGCATCTGAAACAAGGTCTCTAGTGGACAGTCTATAGCATGTGAAACAAGGTCTCTAGTGGGTAGTCTATAGCATCTGAAACAAGGTCTCTAGTGGACAGGCTATAGCATCTGAAACAAGGTCTCTAGTAGCCAGTCTATAGCATCTGAAACAAGGTCTCTAGTGGACAGTCTATAGCATCTGAAACAAGGTCTCTAGTGGACAGGCTATAACATCTGAAACAAGGTCTCTAGTGGCTAGTCTATAGCATCATAAACAAGGTCTCTAGTGGACAGGCTATAGCATCTGAAACAAGGTCTCTAGTGGACAGGCTATAACATCAGAAACAAGGTCTCTAGTGGGTAGTCTATAGCATCTGAAACAAGGTCTCTAGTGGACAGGCTATAACATCTGAAACAAGGTCTCTAGTGGACAGTCTATAGCATCTGAAACAAGGTCTCTAGTAGGCAGTCTATAACATCTGGAACAAGGTATCCAGTGGGCAGTCTATAGCATCTGAAACAAGGTATCTAGTTATAAGTCTATAGCATGTGAAACAAGGCCTCTAGTGTGCAGTCTATAGCATCTGGAACAAGGTATCCAGTGGGCAGTCTATAGCATCTGAAACAAGGTCTCTAGTGGACAGTCTATAGCATGTCAAACAAGGTCTCTAGTGGGTAGTCTATAGCATCTGAAACAAGGTCTCTAGTGGACAGGCTATAGCATCTGAAACAAGGTCTCTAGTAGCCAGTCTATAGCATCTGAAACAAGGTCTCTAGTGGACAGTCTATAGCATCTGAAACAAGGTCTCTAGTGGACAGGCTATAACATCTGAAACAAGGTCTCTAGTGGCTAGTCTATAGCATCTGAAACAAGGTCCCTAGTGGACAGTCTATAACATCTGAAACAAGGTCTCTAGTAGACAGTCTATAGCATCTGAAACAAGGTATCCAGTGGGCAGTCTATAGCATCTGAAACAAGGTCTCTAATGATAAGTCTATAGCATCTGAAACAAGGTATCTAGTGTGCAGTCTATAGCATCTGGAACAAGGTATCCAGTGTGCAGTCTATAGCATCTGAAACAAGGTCTTTAGTGGACAGGCTATAACATCTGAAATAATGTCTCTAGTGTGCAGTCTATATAATCTGAAACAAGGTCTCTTGTATGAAGTCTATAGTATCTGAAACATGG